TCTCTTCTCTGCTTCCAATTCTTCTCTTGCTCTGGTGAGCTGACTCTAAAAACAAAAAGGAAACAAGAATGGATTCATTCTCTATTGCTTCTGAGGGTAGAAGCAGAACCCAAAAGACAAAACAACCAGAAATTAGGTTTAGATTTGAGATCTAGAAACCATTCTTGACTGAATAAGATGTCAGCTAGTGATACAAACTACAACATAAAATGGCAAGTTCATCATTGCTGAAGGTCTTCAAGCAGAAGCTGAATAATCATTTGCCCAACACTTCTAGTAATTTCTGCACTGAGCAGGCTGGATTCAAGGTCCTGTCCAGTTCTAGATGCCAATACTGCACTAGTTTCTACAAAAAACTACTACTAACTACTTCTTCTTCTTCTTCTTCTTCTTCTTCTTCTTCTTCTTCTTCTTCTTCTTCATTATCATCATCATCATCATTATTATTATTGTTGTTGATGTTCTCAAGTATTAGTTTGATAATTATGAGAATTTAGGTAGAGAATCTGAGAATGGTCACAAGAAATGCATATTATAGTTGTTTCTTAGTCCAACTAAAAATGCTGAAGCCTATTTCTCTAAACTATTCTCTCAAACCCAATAATTTGAAGAACTATCAGCAGCTATAGGAATTGTCCTAGATCTAAAATCACAGATTTTAGATAAGATCCTGCAAATACAGTAACTCCATCCTTATGTAACATGAGAATATATCAGGCTCCATTTCTACTATAAGTGACTGTAGTAAAATAACCGAATAAAGTTCTTATGAACTGAAGTCAATGATTACAGCACAAGCCTCATATTGTACCTATTTTTTGCTAGCTGCATGGGCTAAAAAAGTCATAAAATTTGATTACATGAGAAATAATATAGCCCCAAACTGATTTCATCAGATATGTAGACGACTAAAACTTTTAGAAAATGTGGCAAAACGTTGCATTTATTTATTTTAAAAGAGTATATTATCCATTTAGCAATTGTATAAAAATGCCAATATTAAAAAAATAAAAGTGACCAAAAGAAAAAAAAAAGAAAAAGAAAAAATAGTATGGATGTAGAACACCAAAAGTGGATATTGAATTTCTTCTGGTCTTTACAAATTTTCAGTGGATAGCGCCAGTCTAATCTAATAGTTAATGCACTAAAATTAGAAATCAGGAAACTGTAAATTCTCGTCCCACCTTAGACATGAAAATCAGCTGGGTGACTTTGGGCCAATCACTCTCTTTCAGCCCAACTCACCTCATGGGGTTGTTGTTGTGGGGAAAATAAGAGAAGGGAACTGCCTTGAGTTATTTTAAAAAAAAAATCAGGATAAAAAAATACAAAATGGGCACAAATTACAATTCTGAATGCTTCTTGTCACATGTGTAACTGAAAGCATCCATACCTGTATGGCCACATTGTGATCTTGAGCAGCTTCCAGTTCCTTGTTTTTCTCAGTTAACTTCTTCAATTGCTCATCTGTAGAGTATTCAAAAGGAAGGCCATTTTCATTTGTTTATTACAATAAACCACTTAATAGCAACACCATGATCAAACAATACCCTTTCCTATCCCAAGGAATACTCAGACTGAAGATTCATTTCAAATATTTCTCAATCACAGATAAGCTATATAATTCTAAAAAAAAAGTTCTTTCCATTATAAAATCCCCACTGCTGGTTTGGGTAATTTTAAGCTTATGCACCAGCTGGAAGCCACATTCTTCTTATATATGAGACTTTACATACGCCTATTGAGGGGCATTTATTGTGAAATGTAGCTTTTTAGTACTTAGATTTACAGTCTTCACTCATAATATCTTGAACAGTAAGTGGTATAAAAATGATTAGAATCATAAATAGCACATTGTTCATTTTCTAAAACAAAACTTTTCAGTATTTGTCTTAAATTTCATACAGACATGTAACTACAGTAATATTACTTTGTGACCCATTTAACAATGTTATACTTACTAAGCTTGGTGAGCTCTTCTCGGAGATTCTGACATTCCTGTGTTTCATTAACAAGCCTCTCCTGACTCTGAGCCAGTCGTTTTTCAACTTCAAAGTATTGTTGCTCTGCAAAACACCCATTAATACATTTCAGTATTATCCCTTGCAGGAAAATAAATAAAAATGTAACTTTTGCACCTTTGGTCTAGTGGTTAAGACATCAAGCTAGAAACTAGGAGACTATAAATTCTAGTCCCGCCTTAGGCATGAAAACCAGCTGGGTGACTTTTGGCCTAGGAAGAGGAAGACGTATTAGGTGTACTTACTACCTTATTTATAAAAATAATAAAGGTGGGATAAAAATAAATTTTACATGCACCATTTTCTCTCTTGCTATGTCTCCATATCCAGTTAGGATATATAAACTGTTTCTCCAAAATTTGCCATTATTTTTTCCTCACAATTCAAGTTGGCTGAACACAATCATTCTCTAGGTTTGGGAGAATCCAACTGTATCTACATCAGCTCTGACATTATGATCAAGGAATTTTACACATCTCTCTAAGTACAGTATATGTAGGATTTTTTCCTAAATTGATTTCAATGAAATTGTTAAGATAATGAAAGAGCCAGCAACCTTTGGTAGTCTCATATTTATATAAGCAATACAATGGATGTTGTATAATACCCAGCCACAGACAAAACATCTGGAATTTAGAGTTAAATGCGACATAGTTAAACAAGACATAGTTATAAAAAATTCTGATAAGCATGAGTACAATCAACACATCTATACAGATAGTCCTAATGTTATGACTACAACTGAAGCCAAAATTTACGTTGCTAAGGGAGACGTCTGTTAAATGAATTTTGCCCCATTTTATGACCTTTCTTGCCACAGTTGTTAAGTGAATCATTGCAATTGTTAAGTTAGTAACACAGAATTACCGTAGTAAAATAGCTTTGGCTTCCCTATTGACTTTGCTTGTAAGGTCGCAAAAGGAGATTACATGACCCTGGGACACTGCAACCATCATAAATGTAAACCGATTGCCAAACGTCTAAATTTTGATCACATGACCATAAGGCCATGCTGCAATGGTCATTAAGTGTGAGAAACAGTCATGTCACTTTTTTCAGTGCCAATATAACTTTGGTCACTAAATGAACTGTTGTAAGTTGAAGACTACCTATATAAATCTTTACATTTTGAGAATGTAAAGCTTTTGAAGATGGATATTGAATCTTAAACTGATGGCTAATAATGGTTATTTGTACTTTTTGGATGTAGGTTAATTTTTAATTAAAGGAAAGTTGGTGATACACTCAAAAATCTAATACAGTACATTAATCAACAATAAGGTGGAGAAGACTGTATTTCAGTAACATCTGGAAAAATTCTCCCTGCTCTAAACAGGAGATAATAATGTGCAATATTGCTAGGAATGTGTGAATATTTAGAACTTTTATTTTCAGAAGTAGAACTTACATAAAGAACCATACCCAATGAATCTAACCTTATGTATAGATTACTCTGGATACAATCTAGTGCCTGGCTTTTAACAAACCAATGTTATTTTAAAAATATCACAGGTGAAATGTTTTTATTTAGTTATTTGGAGGATTTATATGGCCACCCACTCATTTTCAGTGACTCTAGTCTAGATGGCATACAAAAAATTAAAATACAATATACAAAGGGTATAACGATTTCTAACTAGGTATCACACAATTTTTTTGCCAGTTCAAGAACTCCATACACAACGAAGCGAATACTGTATTTATTATAGATTGGGTTTCTCTTTTTCTTTTGAAGATTGCCCCCAAGTACTTTCAATCAGCTTATCATCAATGTATTTTTTTTTAAAGGGAGGGGGGAGGACAGGAAAGAAAATTGCAACTAGAGTAACACAGAACACCAACCTTAACTCTTTAAGGCAAGCTGTTTCATAGGATGGGACATATAGGTTGCTTCTCACATGCTCTGAAAATTGAAATGGATGTCTAAACGTATTAAGTAGGTGGGACGATGTCCCATCTATCTACTCAAAAACAAGCCTTAGTAAATAAATTTCATGACTCTTAATATGACTCAGTGTGCACGCAACTGCAGTCACGCTGGCTGAAATCTGGTATAATACGATCCCTTAAAGTGGCAACATCCTAACTCAGTATCTACTGAGTAATTTACTGTTAAAAAATGAAGGTTGGCTCAAGTAGCCCTTGGCCCCATGCGGTACCATCTTATATATACATGTATCTGACTACAATATCCATCACTGCAGCTAACACAGCGCATGGTGAAGGGAAATTCAATGCAACAGAGAACAGCAAATTGGTGTTTGTCCTTTTAGCTTCGTTCCTTTGTGTGAAATGCCCAGCACACTGGAATAAAGGAATTCCTCCCAATTTTCCCTCCTCTGCCCTCTTTTTTTCAGACGTTCACGCAGGAAAAAGATGGGACCGCCGGCCCCCCACAACTCACCGCTGTCCACCTTGTAGCGCTCGTGCCTGGTACGGAGCCCGTCGATCTCGCTCTGCTGATCGGCCAGGAATCGCTCTAACTTGCCCTGCACGGCTTTGGGCAGCTTGGTCAATTCAGCGCGCTCCAAAACCTGCTGCAGAACCGCCGCCATTTTGGACGGCCCGCAGAAAAACACCTCTTTCCATGCAACAACTCCCGCCCCCCCCCCCCCCCCCAGCCGGGGTTGTTTTTTTTTTTTAACTCTTCGCCCCGGAAAGGGCAGAGCGGGAAGATGAGAAAGCGCGTCACGCGGCCGAAGGGCGCACGCGCGTCGTGTGGCCGGCGCACGCGCAAAGCGCAGCAGTGCCTAGGGCTAAGCTACAGTACTATAATTAATATATAATTAATATATAATTATAACATTGATTATACTATATTATTAATTATATATAAAATTATATATAAAATTATTAATCCTATAATTAATGATGAGATCAGCTGTTGTGAGCTGTGAGCGTAGTTATGTGGCTGCTTCGGTTCAGCGACGCGAGGAGCAGCTTACCCCAAATTCATGAATTTGGAAACGTGACGGGGGTTCTCACTTTTTTTTTTTTTTGCATCGCGGGGATGTCGGCATTTGAAACACAACAGTGGATGTGTGTGAAAGATTTGAGTTTCCCTGATTGATATGAATGGCTTCCACTCCCAGCTGGCTGTAGGGGGATCTGAGAGTTTTGAAGCCCGTGCGTATGGCAGTTGACAAGCTATGCAAACAGTTTTCTCATCCTAAGGATGGAAATGATTCGTCTGCCGCCGGAAACACATCCAGCGTTTTTGCCGCCTTGCCTATGCCATCTTGGATGTGGCGGAATTTATTTGAGAAGAGGCGATTTCGTTGGTTTATATAAAAATTAAAAGGACACACGGGAAGCAGGAAGCTGCTATTTCAGAGCTTTATGATATAGGAGACAAAAAAGAAAGAAAAACAATTAGTACTACTTAAGAAATGCTTGAAATACGAAGGGTTGGGGGTTTTTGCCATGAACGAAGCGCGTGATTACGTCATCTGAATGCGTCCTGTTGGAGGAAGGCGAGTACTGGCGCGGAGAGATGACGGACAGAGGGACACATCAGTACTTGTGTAAAGGGGCAGAAAGAATCCGGGTGATGCTTTGGATGGGTCCGTATAGCAAGACAACACGGGGAAACATGAGATAAAGCGAAAAAGGTGAATTTGGATTGCAGCTGCTTTATAGGAAATTGCATTGAGAGGGCTGCAAGGGTGGAGATGAAAAAGTTGAAGTTTTTTTAAAAAATCCATATGGTGCAATGATACTAATCTCTACGTAGCATTTCCCCTTCGTTGACTTTTTAAGAGTAGAAATTAAGGTCTGTTTGTTCCCTTAATTTCTAGAGTAATTGAGCCTCTTCTTCATCTCCTCGTCGTTTATTACACGTTTTATGATTTGGGCAATTGAGTCTTTGCAATAATGGGAAGAAGCTACTTCGTGGAGGAAGCTGTTGGACAATATTTATCAGACCTGACTGCTAAACCAAAAAGACTTATTACTGGTCTTTTAGTAGGGCAGGTAAGTCTGCTGTACTTTTTCACCTATGCTTCCTCTGTTGCAGTTTGAAGTCTCTTCTGAGAAGAAAACACTATGCAACTTCAGTTTATGTCATCAGTTACCAATGTACATCTTTATTCATTGTTATTGATGTATTTCACTAATTATGCAATTCTGTATATATTTAAATATAATTCCAACATCGTATCTGTACATTAGCTATTGTCATTTAGAAGTGTTGTCTAAACTGAGGTTTCCTTAATGTACTGTATAAACAGAAAAAAAAGAATAGAATAGAATAGAATTCTTTATTGGCCAAGTGTGATTGGACACACAAGGAATTTGTCTTTGATGCATATGCTCTCAGTGTACATAAAAGGAAAAAAATAAAAAAAATACATTCAGCAAGAATCATAAAATACAATACTTAATGGTAGTCATAGGTTACTAATAAGCAATCAAATCATACTAGGAAACAAACAGAACAATATATATAGTAAAAATACAAGCAACATGGTTATAGTCATAAGTGGGAGGAGATAGGTAATAGGAAGGATGAGAAGAATAATAGTAATACAATCTTAGTAAATAGTTTTACAATGTTGTGGGAATTAGTTGTTTAGCAGAGTGATGGCCTTCAGTAAAGCTGTGTACAGTACCCATAGTTAAAATGTCATTTGATATTCTTCTTTTCACAATCTGTTCCATTAATATATTTTTAGGATAGAGTTTTCTTGGATTAATAATGATTGGTTTTTAACAGAAGTGATGTTGTTGAATGCTTCAAATGCTAGGGTGTTAAAATATTTTTTTGTGTATCTTGGAAGCCCTGGGCTTAAAGGGAAATTTTTTTGGTAGCCATTTTTATCTATATGGCTATTTACACTTGCTTTACATTTGATATTCCTGCATTTCTCATTTGGAATCAAGTTTCTGATGATGTGTACTGCAGAGATACTCTATAAATGAATTCTTAGAAATATATATAAGCTACATAAGGTCCAGTTGATGCCATTGTATAAAGTGCCCTTAAATGGTCTGTATGGACTGCTTTTTGTCCTTTATGCAACTTTATCTTTTCTATTTTTCAGTGTTCCCAGCAGAGAGACTATGTTTTGCTGGCTATTCGAACTCCTGTAAAAGAGGAAGAAAGTAACAGTAGTGCAAACCACCATACAGATTTGTCTAATATTGATGAAGAATGGACAGCAGCACATGCCAGACAAGTAATAAAAATTGTCTTACTTTGCCATAGAAAAGGAATTTTCTTGTAAGCCTGTCTCAGCTTCATAATGATTGTTTTTTTAAGTTAACGCTGCCTTCTACTGTTTTTAGACATTAATTTAAACATGGAACATTCATAAATGTTAAAATTTTGACTGTATATGCTTTGCCATATTGAATATAGCTTTGTTGCTTGCCAGGTAGACTAGGACATTCTCAAGTGGGTGAGATGTTCTATCATATACACCTAAGGCAGATACCTCTAGACCAGGCCTATCAAACTAGTTGCCCGCGGGCTGGATATGTTACACTCAGGCCACACCCACCCCAGCTCCATAAAGGCAAAAAAGTCACAATATGTCATGTGACGTGATCGAGTTTGACACCCGTGTTCTAGACCTTCTGTTTGGGGAAGGTAGAAAAAATTTCAAACCGTAATGAGTTTTTGGAATGAATAGACAGGATCTAGTTTTCTGGCATTCTGATGTTTTGCTGTCAACCATGACTGTCATCTTAAGAGGCAGCAGGAGATCAGTCCCTTTTTCAGTGAAAAAGGGACTAATCAGGTTCTTATATTTAAATTTGGCAAACTGATCTCTGATTGGTTAGTCTGAGTTCAATAGTGCTGAGTTCTGCTCTCAGAACATTGCATTTCTTTTTTCTTTCTTAATCAAGGGGTTAGGGTAGTTCTCTCCAACACTGAATATCTGCATATTTAAAGTTAAAATAGGTATTATCATTTTCTTCTAATAAAGTATGGTTTTCTTTATTTCCCATGAAGCAATGAGAAAGGTTAACGGACTGAAATATATGGTGACATGCTTCTATGTTAGGTTCACAAAATCATACTATTGGAATTATTTCCATTTTGGGGTGGGGGGGTGTTAACTTTCTACTCACCAGAGATTATGAGAACCATATTTCTTCTCATATTGGAGTTAGGGAGAAGATGTTGCATAAAGTACATCCTAGAACAGGGGTCCCCAACCAACGGTCTGTGGCCCGGTGCTGGCCCGTGGCCCATTGTGAACCGGACTGCCCAAGCGGTGGGCGAGTGCACAAAGTTGCATTTGCACAAGTGGTGCATGCACAAAACCATGTCCTCCCCTCTCCCCCGCTGCTACCACCAGTCCAAGGAGCCAAAAAAGTTGAGGACCATTGTCCTAGAACACAGTAGAACTACCAAAGCTACTCCAAAGCAGGAGGTAGAACCAGGACATGAAGATTCATTGGGCTGCCATGAAGCATAGTAATAACTGAGCCATTGCAAATCTGTTTAGCTATAAATTACTACTTAAACGGCTATTATGACTATCAAAAGCCACTGAGAGATCAAGGGGCACAAGATTGGATACACAACACCATCCTGACTTTGCCACAAATCATAAACAAGTGTGACCAAGGCTGCCTCAATATTCAAACCCATCCTAAAACCTGACTGAAACACATCAATCTATTTCCTCCAAAGTTCTCATCAGGTGCAGACTTCTCAACAAGTTAAATACTGGTCTATAATGAAAAACTGGTCTAAGGATGGCCACTTGAGAAATGGGTGTACCACTGCCTCTTTCAAAGCAGGAGTGTTAGGCCAGTAGTAGTAGTAGTAGTAGTAGTAGTAGTAGTAGTAGTAGTAGTTAGTAGTAGTAGTTAGTAGTAATATGTTTGTATTTGATTCTCTTAGGTATCAAGAATGCTTCCTGGCGGGCTGCTAGTTCTTGGTGTTTTTATCATTTCAGTTCCAGAGCTGGCAAAAGAAATCCAAAATATCCTGAGGAAGGTAGATAATAAAAGTCATGTTTTGTTTTATTTTTATTCTTATTTTACTTACAAACATTTTTTACAGTTACTGTAGATAGTTAACAACATTTCTTTTCTACTATGTAAGTTGCCAAAATGAAATTGATTGCCATGGGGTACGACAGATAGATGGATAGATAGATGGATAGATAGATAGATAGATGGTTGGATAGATGGATGGATGGATAGATAGATAGATACCGTAAATACATAGTGTAGACACATACCATATATACATACATATGTAGATGAAATGCTCCCGTAAAAGGAGAAGCAAAGTATTTGGAGATAACAAAGTACAATATACTTTAATACAGTGGTTCTCAACCTTCCTAATGCTGTGACCCATTAATACAGTTCTTCATGTTGTGGTGACCCCCAACCAGGGGTGGGTTCTAAAATTTTTTACTATCGGTTCTGTGGGCGTGGCTTATTTTGTGGGCGTGGCTTGGAGGTCATGTGACTGGGTAGGCATGGCTAGCTGGTCATGTGACCGGGTGGCCATGGCTATGTATATAGGGACTACTCAGAGGGCTGAAAAAAGTCATTTCTGACAGATCCTCGCACTTTGGACTGGTCCTCACACTTATGACCATCCTCACATATGCCCGTGCAGCATTCTTAACAACCATGTCACTCATTTCACAACTGCTTCTCTTCACCATGGTGATAAGATAGGGCAAAAAACGTAAAATGTGAGGACAGTTGTAAATTCGAGGACTGGTCAAAAGTGCGAGTACCAGTCAAAAATAACTTTTTCAGCCCTCTGAGTAGTCCATGTGCACAAAAGGACTACCCAGAGGGCTGAAAAAAGTGATTTCTGACAGGTCCTCGCACTTTTGACCAGTCTTTGCACTTATGACTGGTCATCATGCTCATTGTAGCATTCTTAACAACCGTGTCACTCATTTCACAACTGCTTCTCTTCACCATGGTGACAAGATAGGGCAAAAACGTAAAATGTGAGGACAGTCATAAATTTGAGGACTGGTCAAAAGTGCGAGGACCAGTCAAAAATAACTTTTTCAGCCCTCTGAGTAGTCCATATGCATAAAAGGATACAGCAATAGAGAGGGATGAAGGAAGGGAAGGAAAATTAGAGTAGGAGTGAGGGTAAGAGAGGGAGGAAGAGAGGAGAAGGAGAAAGGAAGAGGAAGTAGGAAGGAAAAGAAGAGGGGGGAAGAGAAAGTAAGAAGGAAAGAAAAGAGAGAGGTGGTAGATTGAGGAGAAAGATTGCTGTACAATAAAAAAGATGAAAGGGAAGAAAACCAACCCCAAACAAATATAAAGATATTAAGATAAAGAATGAATTGTTAAACTTTAAAGAATAAGAGAGAACAAATATGAATAAATAGCAATAATTAGAAACACCCATACAAACATACAATGTATTTTCTTTGAACAGAGTATTTGGCCGGTTCACAAATTTAAACAGTGTTTAGTCATTTCAATTAAATTTACAATTTCTATATTTTCTTTTTGCCATATTTATTCCTCATCTATTTTTTTAAAAAACCAATATTACCCTTCATCCTCATCTCTAATCTTAATCAAATTCAATTTTTCCCTTCTATTCTATATTATACCCCTTCCCATTGTCATCTATTTTTATATCCATCCTCACATTGATTAATTATGTAATTATGTAATACAGTTGTTTAATACAAATTCAACATTTTAATATAAATCAATTAGTTATATAACTATCTTTTTTGTATATCAATCAATATGAACATGAATATTCCAATTATTTCCATGTAATCCAATTTCTTACAGATCAATTAATTATATTTACCAATAATAATAAACCAAATAATTTTCCCCATATATTCCTCCAAACCACAACTTAAGCATTTCTGCTTTCAACACAATATACAATTAATAGTATCTCAATTATTACAATTCCCTAGTTAAATAGAGCTTTTTTTTCTTTTGTGTTTTAAAATCTTGAACTCTCCTCTTTTGCCCTAAATTTCCCATTGTTTGCACCTACCTTTTTTGGTGAGGAGAAAGAAAAAGAAAAAGAAATCTCTCTCCCTGCCTCATTTTGTCACGTTGCAGCAGAGCCTGCTTCACTTTCAGTTTCCTTTTAGCTAGGGAAAAAAAAATCTACTCTAGCAGCTTGCAAAACAAGAGCTTGCAAAAGAGCCTGCGCAAAACAGCTGAGAGCAAATCAGCTGAGAGTCGGAGGCCGATCTAATCATGCTAATTAACCTATGCTGAAGCTGAAAGAGGCTGTTTTGTTCTATTTTTGGAGACCGGTCTTCTCATTTGTTTTCTTTTAACACTGATCACCTGTAGGGCGGCCCTTTGAAGCCCCGCAGCAAGAATTTAAACAGTTTTTTTCCCTCTAGCCATCACCTGGGACTCAGGAGGCAGCAATAGATTGGGGGTGGGCAGGGTAAGCGACCAGCGATCCAACAGAGGCAGAGGGTGAGGGTGAGTGAAGGCGTGGGGGGGGGCGAGAGAGGGTTTTAGCGACCCCTGTGAAATGGCCATTCGACCCCCAAAGGGGTCACGACCCCCAGGTTGAGAACCGCTGCTTTAATAGATACTTACAGTGAGTCACTAAGTTCCTTGCCAACCAATTTCAGGAAAAGAGCCTGGACCAAGCTTCACTTTATATTACGTACAGCATTGTGAATAACATTTGAAACAAATAGACAACACAATGATAAGCACCCCTTCCTTTAGAATGCTTGGATAAACTATTAGATTGAGCTTACTGTTACTTTTCACACTTGTGGTATCCTTCCTGATATTATCAACATGTACCATAAGCATCAGTGTTCCCTTTGCAATCTGTTACTACCAAATTCTGATGCTCAAGGACAAGCATCTGGGTTATGTTAACCGTCTCCATAACTGTCTGTTGCTTATGTTAGCTAAAAGGAAGCATAAACTGACCTGAACTGTCTCCAGCACTGGGTATTTCTACTAAGCAATACAAAGAGCTATATCTAATAAAGGCTTGAATAACTCTATATGTTTAATATTATTCTATACCACCATGATGGATAGATAAGGTACCTAAGAATCAGACTTGACTCTGTTCTTGTTCTGCTTTTCTCCAAGCTTCTTTTTGCAGTAGAAAAGTCTGTAGCTAGAAAGAGATTGTGGAACATCGCAGAAGAAGATGTTTCAGATAGAGTGGTGCTTCATCTTTGTTCAACTACAAAGAAGTATCCTTTTTGCATCCGTTTTCATATCATAGATCTATGCTCCTTCTAAATTACAGTTGATAATTTACTTCTGCTTTACCTTTGCACAGTTATACCACTCACAATTCAAATCATTCCAAAACAAAAACAAAAACAAAATTAGATAAAGGTTAGTTTGTTTTGTAGCTAGCTCTGCCCTATGATCTCAGTTAGTAAAAGCAAAAAACAAAATTCAATAGCCTGCTATTTTTACAATGTAAGTTAATTGATATATTGAAGTGCTATGTTCAAATCTTTGGGAACGTTTTTCTATTCAAAGACGTGTTCTACCCTTTCGTGTTGTGCTGCTCAGAGGATTAGAAAGGTTTTCAGAACAAATTTGGGCAGAAGATGTAACAGAATTGGGGAAGTAAAATATGTTTGTGGGGTTGGAGGTGTCAGACGCCATTATATTAGTAAGTACAGTAGATACCACTGTATGCAACAGTATAGAGTAAATTGAATGGATGTTCAACATACGGTGTATAATATAGAATAAAATGGAGGAAATGAGTGTTTCTATAGTACACTGAGCTCCTTTGCTTTTTTCTCATTTATTAATAAATGTTCCATAGAGATTTACTGAATTAAAGAAGCGGAGCAGTGTATTTACACATCAGAATTCCATTCTGATCCCATCTTTATTCATTATTATTTTAATGCTACAGTTTATGTGCCGTTCCATTTCTGGAGCCTCTGAGCAATTTACAGGATGAATATAATAAGATTTTTTTAAAAAAAAATTGGCTAATAAAACTGCAACCATTCTATGTGCCATCATTCATTTGTGTTTCCAAACGCCTTTCTCAAGAGCCGTATTTTTACATTCTTTTTCTTGAACCTACTTGGACAATTGTACTGAGACAACTACATAACCATAGTTAATTAATCTTACACTAGAATATTAAATATATGGTGATTCTTCTACCGTTGCAACACATTGCCATAACTAAGAACATGATCATATCATAAAAGATGGGAATCCAGATTCTAAATCAGTAGTGGAGGAACCATTGCCTTTTATGTTATTTCTAACTTCCAGCTGTTTTAGCCAGATTGGCCAATGGTACTAATACTGTGATTCAGTTACATCTGAATCACCATATATTTTCTATGACTATTCTAGGGTGTGATTTGACTTAATAGGTAAAGAGTAAGAGATTTATTCTCTAGCAATAAATATTGATGTTTTCATTCTCTACCATTCATGTCAAGAAGGCTCACAGTTTCAGCTTTCAATAGTAGCAAGGCCTATTAGAGACAGAATGGGAGAAGAAGGATTAACTGGTGGCCAAGAAGAGTAACAACAGCTCCTTGGTTTATTTTTTTATAGTTAACTATTGTTACTGAAGTAGTTGTATTAATGGTGCCTATTTAACTACAGAATGTATTTTATCACATAAACAAGCAACAGTGCTGGATATGTACGGCTTTCTGTTTGTTGCTTATGTTAGCTAAAAAGGAAGCAAAAAGTGACCTGAACAGACTGAATTTTAGTTTGGATCTTTAGAGGTGGCTGGGAGGGGTTTCATTATAAGAGTCTTAAGCACTTCTTATTACTGTAGTATCTCTTAAATCTAATTAGTTACTGTTCCTTAACTGGAAACGAATACTTTGTCGTACCTACGATGTGCAAGATCCAAAGGTAGGTTCTGTATTGGGTGAGAACAAATAACTATTTGAATTTGGGTTGCCAATCTCAACTAAGTTAACCTGCCATTAAGTGGTACCTTAAGTGGAACCATCTACCTGGTGGTTAAGGCACCAGGCTAGAAATTGGGAGACTGTGAGTTCTAGTCCTGCTTTAGGCATGACAGCTGACTGGGTTGGGCCAGGCATTCACACTCTCTCTCAGGCCAACTCTGGTTGTTGTGAGAAAATTTGGAGGAGGATGGAGTATTAGGTATGCTTGCTGCCTTGAGTGGTTTATGAAAACAGTAACAGTGGGATATAAGTAAATAAATAAAAATTATAGCTTTGTTCTTAGATTTCAGTAGAGGCTGTGCCAGCTCCCGTTTAAAGTTTGCATGAAAGAAGTATGTTTGAGAGCAGCAATTACACATACGCAAACTAGAATTCTGTATGTGCCTATGTCAGGATAACTCTTATTGAATTTATAAATAAATGTATAGATTGAGTCATGTAAATTGGATGATTTATCATTTATATTTTGAGATTATTGGATTATTTACTGTAGTAATTGAGCCTCTTTTTCCCCCCTTTTAGAGTACAGCTAAGCCAGCCGACTGGAAATACCAGAACACTCTTTCTGCTTCTTGGCTCTCTTTAGAATGCACAATTAATGTTAATATACATATTCCTCTCCCTGCCACATTGGCCAGCCACAACGTAGAAAAAAATACCAGGGTAATTAAAAAACCCCTCACATTGTGTTATTAATTATATCATAATGTTTAACTCTTATTGGCTTTGTTGCTTTCTTCACTAGAATATTTTAATCTTAGGTCACTCTTTTGCTTTCCTTAATCTTTTGCCTGCACTTCTTTCTTTGGTATCCTAACAGTTGTCAACTAATTTCTTGTAAGTCCCTCACACAGCTACTTTTTTCTCCAACAGGACTTTCTTTAACTTCTTTCTGTTTTTGTCTTGATTTTAGGAAAGATCGTCAGTACTATATGTATTCTGAACACTGTCAATTGCTACTTTTGATAATCCAATATCAAAATGAGCAATGGAATGGAAATATAAGGGTTAAACATAACTTTATGGGTTTAAAAATACTGTACATCCTTTAGCACTGGTATATAACAGTAAATGTCAGAGATCATCAATAGTGGCCATTCACTAACAAATACTTGGATAATAACATGCCATCCTTTCATTGGTAATCTAGCATGTCAAAACTCAAAGAAGAGTAAGACCTTGAAACACTAAGTCACAGGTGTCAAACTCGATTGCATCACGTGATGTATTGTGACATATTGCGATGTTTTTTGTCTTTGCTGGGGTGGGCGTGGCCTATACATGATGCATCCGGCCCGCAGGCTGCCAGTTTGACACCTCTGCACTAAGTTAACAGTGGCTTAGAGATCATGTCATATCTTTTATTTAAACACTGTTGTAGATGTATCCACATATGACAGCTTAGACCTGTTCTTTAGAGTTCTTTAGAAACTAGTATCAAAAATTAGACTGAATCAACTTATCTGCTTCATGATCTAAAATTATTTAAATTACATTTAGAAGAGAACATCTGAGGGTTGCCCTGCAGTTTAAGCTTTTAAAATTATTAAATGTATTTCACTTACACTGGTCAGAAATATAGTAGTTCTTTTAGTAAAATTACTCTTTTTGATTCTGTTTTATAGAATGGATTAGGACATTGGGCTCAACAGATAGAGAAGGCTGTCTTTTTGATAAATGGACAAGCCAGAGAAGAAGATGCTGACTTACTGGAAGGACAGGTAGGTGGTGAAAAATGTAAACTTGAAATTATTGTCCTCTGTAGCTGCTTGCGTGATAGGTTTTTCAGTGCTCTATTGAAAACAATTGAAATGTTTGTTAAAGTAAACCACTAATACAGTGCATGCTGAATAAGTATATTGATATTTAGTAACTTCATAATGCATAATGATAAAATTTGGACAATGTGTTAAGGTAGAGGCTTTTTAAGAATTGATTATGAATGGACATTAGCTAGGATTAATAAATCTCACTAGGGCTCATATATGAATGTCTAAACAAGCCCCAAAACTATTATATACAATTACGGTTACAAAAAAAATCCATATTACCCATGTAGAGATTGAGGAAGAGTTTATCTCCTTATTTCAGGACATTTTGAAAAAAATACAGGTAGTCCACAGTTGGAACCAGAAAAAGTAAGGCATCGCTTAAGTGCACCCAATTTTATGACCTTTTTTGCCATCATCGTTAAGCAAGATGTCATGTGATCTGCAGTCTTCCCCATTGCCTTTGAGGATGCCTAGGAAGGATGAAAATGGTGATGACATGATTCCAGGACATTGCTGTTGTTATAAGTGTGAGCCAGGTGTGAAATCCAGCAGGTTCTGACAGATTCTGGAGAACCGGTAGCAGAAATTTTGAGTAGTTCGGAGAACCGGCAAATACCACCTCTAGCTGGTCCCAGAGTGGGATGGGAATGGAGATTTTGCAATATCCTTCCCCCAGGAGTGGGGAGGGAATGGGGATTTTGCAATATCCTTCCCCTGGAGGGGTAGGAATAGAGATTTTGCAGTATCCTTCCCCTGGAGTGGGGTGGGAATGGAGATTTTGCAGTATCCTTCCCCTGCCACGCCACCAAGCCATGCCCACAGAACCAGTAGTAAAAAAAATTGAATTCCACCACTGGTGTGAGCCAGTTGCCAAGTGCTCACCTTTTGATCCCATGACCACAGGACAAGTTGGGACGCTGCAACAGTCATAAGAGCAAGTAATGGTTGTAAGTCATTTTTTTCAGCAGCAGCATCGCTTTGAACAGTTGCTAAACAACGGCACTGAAAAAAGTAACTTATGACCATTTTTCACACTTACGACCATTGCAGCATCCTCATGGTCACATGATTTACATTCAGATACTTGATAACTGGTTCATATTTATGACGGTTGCTGTGTCCTGGGGTCATGTGATAAGTTTTTGCGACCTTCTGACAAGCAAAGTCAATGGGAAAGTCAGATGCGCTCAACAACCATGTTACTAATTTAATAACTGCAGTGATTCACTTAACAAATGTGGCAAGAAAAGTTGTAAAATGGGGCAAAACTCACTTAACAAATTTCTCACTTAGCAACATAAATGTTGGGCTCAATGTGGTCGTAAGTCGAGGACTACCTGTACATTAAATTTTCTTTTATCCATTTCAGTTTTGCATATATATATATTCAGAGATCTAATTTGGTCTCATGTGGATTTTCCTTCCCCTCTAACTTCCAAAAACATTTCTGTACAGTTTATGATGAAATGAACATTTCCTGTTTTGGTACATGAAGGAGACCAAGTTTTAAACATTCCTACTATCCAGCACAATAGAAAAATGCATAATTAAAGTCTGCTGTTACATTAACTTTTTCTGTCTCCTCCCTAATCATTTCTTGCTTTACCCTAGAATGATCCCTAGTTCTTATCTCATCCTTTATTTCCATATTTTTTTAGAATACCAATAATTATGCTTAGTTTTTTTCTTTTCTTTTTTTTTTTTAAAAAAAACCTTTTTTTTCATGTCTTAGTTCTTTCTCCTTATTCCTGTCTGTGCCAATGGCTTCAAGTAAGAGTGGTTTAATTATTTGGCACTCCATAAATGGTATTCTTCACCACATTAGAATAGTCTGATCAGCAACAGTAAACTCTGGTTTCAGTTTGTAATCTAAGTACAGAATGCATAGTGAAATCGTTCATGGCCTAATAGTTTCTATCATACACTACTTTAAAGGATTCTTCTTATAGTAAACTAGTCAGTGAAATTATCCCTGCTAGTTTGATCTCATGAGTCTAATAATGCTTATTCAATGCTGCTCCTGCCTTCTACAGGCAAAATCCTAGTATTAATGCCTTGACAAAGAAAGTCTCCAGCTTTCACTATCCCTGCCTTATCTATCTGTCTATCCCTATCAATGCCCTTAAATGTCCTTTTTCCCTGTCTGTTTGCATAATTAACCAGAAGATGGCACCAAATCACTTTAGCAAAATGTTTCTGATGATCTAAACCTCTATTCCCAGCTGCCAGTGATGCTAAGGGAGACGTGGCCAGATATTCTTTCCCTTGATTTCCACTTGCCTATATTATTGTATCATTCAATAAGAGAACAGATCAAACAGCCAGTTGTAAATTCAGATGATTCCCCCCCCTTTTTTTTAACACAACAGCAGATGTAGACTTTAAGCCTGACATTCCAGTGGGCATCACTTGAAATCAAGAGGGCCTTCTTTTTCTGAGAAGCGAAATGTTATTCCATGGAGATACTTTGCTCATCATTTTATCCTGTGATAATTCTTCTGTTACATGAAATAGTTTTAAAGATTCAGAAAGCTATTCTTCTACTGAAGGAAGAATGGGAGCAACTCATTAGTTTTGAGCCTCATGGCATCCTATCAACTTTCTCCAGTGAACTTATCTCCATGTTTGACAGTTTTTGCAGTTTACACTTCCTTTTCAAGTTCACATAGCAAATGAAAGATACATTTCAGTCCTTTTCACAGAAATCGTTCTCCTGGCAGTATTTGTGACCAGAATCTCTCCCTTATGGAATTTCACAGATTTTACAGTACCCACCAATCTTAGCCTTGAGTAGGGAACTCATTGATTCAGACAGTTGATTCAGAGAATGTGTTTCTTATGGTGAGTTTCTGTAACTTAAATTAAAAAAAAAACTAAAAATTGCCCATCTAGCCCACTAACATTTATTTGAAATTATCATAAATACATGTAGATGATTACATATAGACAACATAATAGTTTAGCTTTACATGTTCCATTGAGAAGGACAAGATCACTATTTTACCTAAAAGGCAGTTATTCTGCCTGCAGTCAGAAAAGTTAATTTCACTCCTCTTGGTTTAATACATCAAGAAGGCTTGAAATATAAATGTTATTTCTCTTAGCAAAACCACACTGAATTCAGTAGGAAAAGAACCTGAATCTATTCATATCCAGTTTCCTGGGAGAGGATTTTAATCTGAACAAGTAAATCTCTTTGCTGCCTCAGGTTGCCTCACTTCTTTTTCACTTGCAATTTTAATAACATAAAGTCTGGGTTGCTAGTGTCTCTTCTCGATCCAGAAATTCTTCCATGTCATTATTCTATTTATACCGATTGATAAGATGCTTTTGAAAATTGGATCCAACCATGATCCAAGTAATTCTTCTTTCCGGTTTTTTCTATCTATTGTTGCAAGCTTCAGTTCTCCATCCTTATTCTTAATTTGTTACTGAAAAGATCGTGTGTGTGTATGTGTGTGTGTGTGTGTGTGTGTGTATGTGTAAAAAGTTAAAATCTCGGGTGTTTTCCCACATCATTAAAAGTCTGTTAGTTAAAATGCTTAAAATCTTAAAATCCTGGCTAAAATCCCAGCTCAAAATCCTCTAAACTCCTAACAAAACACTTTGTAAGGTCTTTTAAAACTTTGGCTAAAATCCTAACCAGCACTTTAAAGGTTTTCTTTTTTGGCAACGTTTCGACAAGCTCTCTAACCTGTCATCATTGGGCCCCTATTTTTAGTTTAGAATCTGTGGGTATGTTGCGAGGTCGGAGTTGTCGCTTTTCTCTGTTCGCTGCTGCTGACGTATGCTGCTTAGCCTGCAACTCTGTGTCCTGATGGAGGGCAGCCATTTTTTCTCCTGCTTCATTATCCTAACTGCAGCTTGACTGCGTGTTAAAGGCCCAGCTTTCTCTGGTTCTTTATTACTAACTGTCAACTGCAAAGAGGGAAGGATTCTGGTAGGCATCACAGCACCACTGATTGTCTGTTGAGATCTCAGCCTATCTTCTGGCTCGGTTCTCTCTCCCTGTTGCTAGCTATCATCTGCAAAGGGAAGGGATGCCTCTTTTGCATCAAAGCAGAAAAAAAATCCTTGCATAGTATCTGTTCTGTTAATAGATTGTAGCTTTATTTCGATGCATTAAAAATCAAGATTAAGGTCACATTGTTTGAGAATGCAATGTACAATATCTGTAGAGTGGTTATTAATATTTATACCTAAAAAAAAAAAAAAACCCCAAGCAAAGCAAAATACCCTATCATCATCAGAATTTTCTTTGAGTTAAGCATTATGTTCTCCAGTATGGTGATCATGCAAGTCTGATATGTTGCGCCTAGTTGATTCTGTATTCTACCATATTTTGAGTACATTTTTAAAAATAAACTAATACTTTGTAGTATTAGAGAGTTACTTCGGTGTAATGGTTAAGGCACCAGGTTAGAAACGGGCAGTGTGTCCTTATCCTACTTCAGGCTCAAAACCATATGAGTGATTTTGGGCCAGTCACTCTTGACTATAGAAAGAAACCAAGGGCAAACTGTTTTTCAAAATCTTGCCAAGAAAACTGCACAGACTTGTCTAGGCAGTCACCAGCATTCAAGATTGATTTAAAGGCATATATATTAACATTGACTATCAAGAACTTAGCTGAACTGCAGAACATTTGTTGTCGCCTATAAAATGAATTAGAAGTTTTTGCAGAAGGGTGGAAAACTTCACTTATTCATTAAATGTTTTTGTCACACAATCATGTTAAAAAAAACAAAACCCCACAGCTAAAACCTAATAAAATACTCAAATGTCTAAATGTTTTCCCCTGATAGATTCTAGTTTAGCATTTGAACTTACCAATGTTCTTTTCAGTTCAGCTGTCTTCTGTACTTGAATTATCTTTACAGAAAAAATCAAGAGGATATATGCCATCAGCTACTAGGAATCTTGATGTTAGGGTCTTAACACAATTGGTAAGTAAACTTTTTGACAAAGGGGTTAAAAAGTAAGATGGGACATCCTCCATTCAGATCTCACTTACATATCAGTTCATAGCCTTAGGCAAATTGGTAATTATCAGTCTTGTCTCTCCATCTCAGCAAACATAAGAATAATGAAAATCTTCAGTAGAAGGTGGTAGAAAGGTTTTCTGAGAGTTTTCCTTTTTTTCCCCAGACCGCTTTCACTTTCATGAGTAACTTCAAAGTGTTTGTAACATGGTTGGTAAAAGATGAAAGCTGGTTGAAATATCTGCTAATTTGTTTAGGAGGCTGTAGACAGTCTATTATCTTTCAGCTTGAATGCAGATCACTTTAATAAATATTAATAAAGAATATGCATTAAGCATTTTCCAACGTAGAAAAATCCTGATGGTGTTCCTCATTGAAAGGTACTTCTTTTATGGAACAGCCTCTCTCTGGAAATAAAATTTCTCCCCTCTCAATTAGCCTTCTGGAAGTTATTTAAAATGGAACTATTCCAAAGAACCTTTGGGGATAATTGGTGTAATGCTATCTTGTTTACTATACTATTATATTTATTTCCTTATCGTGGATGTTTCAATATTGTACATTTCGATGTCTGTTAATGTTGGTAACTAAAAGGACCGTTTGGAAATTACAATGATGTGGAACTCTCATAAATAAAAATAGAACTTCACATTTACAGCAGAGTTTACAGTTATTAAAAATAGGGTGGAATTGGTTAACATATGTACTATTTGTGATTTCTGCCTCTTCTCTGTTTCAGATGCAAAGTACAAACTCCAGATCAACAGCTACAGTTCAAATCTGCAGTGGTTCCATAAATCTTAAAGGAGCTTTAAAATGTAAAGCTTACATCCATAATAACAAGCCTAAAGTTAAAGATGCTGTTCAGGTATTTATCCTATCCCCCATTTTTGAAAAATTTGCTTGTTTTCATGTTCCAGCCAAGATCTCTGATTTTCCTAGTAATTAATATAAATAAGGGATATAATTGCAATAGTCCATAAAATTTTGACCAGAGGTTCCATGCAAGCTTTTCTTCAAAAATGACAAAACAGAACCTCAAATCTATATTAGCCCTCCCTAGTTTTGTCATTTATCATCCCAGTATATCTTCAAACATCTGATTGTGTAACTATAATTTTGGGGATAGTGTTGACAGGGTGAGCATAACTAGAGTGGGTGATGGTCTTAAAAAATGTTTTTTAATGAAAGTGTAGCTAATTCTAAAGTTTTTTTCTTCAAGTTAAGACCTGGGAGGTATTGTTATATGGGGTTTTTTTTTAACGACTCAATGGTAGTTTGTGTCTCGTCATGATTTCTTTATGCTATGTTTGTACAAGTCCTGGGTTTGTACAAACGACTTTTCCAATGGAGTGTGATATATGAACATAGCCAGAGCCTCTTGCTTGTGTCTGAGAAAATGAAAGATGATGAGAATAAGGAGCATTTCTTGTCTTTGATTTCAAACTATGCATATAATAGCCCCATGGGGAGTTCAATCCACTTTCAGTATCTGCAGGATTTCTATAAAGTGATATATGCACAGTCTTCCTCTGTTGAAGGAATAATAATCAGACAGGATGCCCAGTATCAGGGGCCTCTCTTCAAATAGTTTAATCTTTTTTAAAAAATATTACAGATAAAAGACTCTACTGCCATTTCTGTGACAATCTCCCAAATTGGCAAGCAGGCTAGAAGGCAGGCTAAATTTTGACAGTGTGTCATGTAACCTGTTTTTATCACACACACTTTCCTCTGCAGAGATGAATGCATTTGGTTTTCTTCAGAGTCAGCATCCCTGGCAATAATTTCAATTCTTTTATAACAGGTATTAAGTTTATATTATAAGTTTTAGAAGGAGCGTGTATTAGGAATATATAAAACCGGTTACAAAATGTTGTATAGAACTCCAGAGCACTTCATTTCTTTTCCTGACCTCATGGATCTTCCAAGGATTGGCTCAGAATGGTGGGTTTTGCACATACATAGCTTTTATACATGTTATTCTGTGTTTTTTTATAGGCCTTGAAGAGAGATATAATAAACACTCTCTCTGATCGTTGTGAAATATTGTTTGAAGATTTGCTTGTCAATGAAATACCAGGAAAGAAAAGTAAGAGAAGAAGGAGCCCAATAACCCAATCATATGCTTTTTAAAATTTAATGTAGTTTCTCCAAACTAATTTTATTTGAATTTATTTCTACATACCGTATTTTTCAGAGTATAAAACACACTTTTTCCCTCCTAAAAGAGGCTGAAAATTTGGGTGCATCTTATACTCCGAATGTAGCTTTTTCAAAGCTTTTTTCAGCCCTAACGGGGTGCTAGCAAGTGAAGCGATCTACATGCTTTGCCTGCTCCCTCCGACTCTCAGCTGTGAAGCTTTTTTTCAGCCCTAACAAGGCGTTAGCGAGTGAAGCGATCTCTGGTTTGCCTGCTTTTCTCATTGGTTCTCTCTCCAAAGATCAGTTGTGCTTTAGAAGCTGTTTTTATCCCCAAGCAGGGGATAAAACTAATGTGCTGAAGCTGACCAAACTAAGGACGTTAGCCAGATGAATACCTGGTAGGCAGATTTTTTTTTTCTTATTTTCCTCCCCAAAAACTAAGCTGTGTCGTATACTCTGGTGCATCTTATACGCCGAAAAATATGGTAAGTGTGTGATTTTTAGAAAGTGCATCAACATTACATGTGCATTATTCTATACATTTTTTTCTAAAAGTGCATTTTTTATAAGTATTTTAATTTTGGACTTGTCTGCTACAATATTTAGAAAATAGGTAAGGGATGTGTCAATAAAGCTAGAACCTACTTAGCATTTTTGACAAATTATGCTGCCCTATATTGAAGGAAATTATATTAAGCATCCCAGCATTATACCTGGAATCCCTAATATGGTGTGCCAATGTGTCTATAGAGAATTCCAAACACCTTATCCTCTTAATTTACATTTATATTTTTCTCAGAAGCTGAGGGTCTCCTGTTACCTTTTGATGAACTGATCAAGCTGAATAATGTCTATGGCCTCATATAGATTAGTAAAAACTGAAAGTGTTTCTCTTGTCTTTTTGTTTTCCCACACTTCTGCATGTACTAAGCAGAAATAGACACCTATTCACAATGATAATGTATCTGTTTTTGGAAAACTTTCATCTTTAACTAATATGGCCAGGTGGCTTATAATTTTTAACTAACTCTTCATATAGCATATTTGTGTTTATACTGTATGTGAATGCTATTGCATGATATATGCTGACTACATTTTACTGTTGAAACATAAATCTTTCAGAATTACTTTCCTTTCCTCAAGATATTCTACTCCCTTCCATGTTTCCTTTTTTCTTAATGTCCTCTTTTATTGTCACAGACCTCAAGGACAAATGTTGCCAATTACTTATATACTTCTCTTGATTCTTTTGATTCACTGTGTCCTACCTTTCATGGAGAATATGTCTTTGATGACATGGCTTGGAAAGATATTCTGATCTCAGTTACCTGTGGTGCCCAGCAAGCAGTACTTGATTAAAAGTACCATTTTTTTCTAGGAAATGGATATATTATAGTAATATAATAATAAATAATATTTTCTGGCCTATTCATAGGACATGCTTAGCAATCAGCCTCTAAGCACAATTTCATCCTATCTTGAGCCTGGATGCTGTTTTAGGGATTGGGCCTTTAATTTTTAGAAGGCTCGCAACAGATAATCCATGGGTGCTCCGAAGTCATCAGAGGGAGTATAAATGCATTTTCTTCATTTGCACTTTACCTTTTTGAGGGACTTTTAAGGCAGAGGGTAGGGGTGGGGGTGGGATGGGACATGGATAGAAGTAACCATCCTTACCACCCTTAAATATTTCTTATCTCTATAAAAAACACAAAGAAACAAAAAGCCTGTACATAATTGTGCTGCTCAAATTCAATCATTTTGAAATTGAGTTTTGACAGCATTTTCTCCCAAGTCCCACCTTTGCCTCAACAGAAGAGAATATATGTAGCTCAGGGTTGAAATATGCTCTCTGAATTTGGTTGATTGCTTACAGACCTTTCATTACCCAACTACCCTGTTTCCCCCAAAATAAGACATCCGCTGATAATAATAAGCCCAATTGGGCTTTTGAGTGCATGGCAATAAGGCCAAGCGCTTATTTCAGGGTTCAAAAAAATGTAAGACAGGCTCTTATTTTTGGGGAAACATGGTAGGTAATGTGCCTTTATCTCTTACCAATTAACCCAAAAGATTCAGGCAACACTCTTCAATGCACTCTAAAAGTATAAGAAGTCAATTTAATGTAAATTGGATGCTGGGAGCTTGCTGGTGTATTATTATTATTATGCTTTTTCAAAAGTAGTGTTGATGCTGTATATGTGTTTCATTCATATGTAAAATGTCTTATGCTGTTAAAAATTACATGTGCAGCCATTATTTGTGTACAACAGTGCTCTTAAAGCTTTTTTTATTAGTAATTAACAAGGGATTCCCTTTCTTTTTGTTTTAGACTCCGAAAGGGAATACCACATCTTACCTTGTAGAGTTTTCACTCCCATTGTGGGATCCAATGTGTTGCTTTGTGATTATAAATTTGGTGATGAGACAATCAGGGAAATTCAGGAGCATTTTCTTGAAATGATGGATCAAGCTGTTCAATCAGATGATTTGCATATTGCTGAGGAAGTGAATACAGGTAAATGTAACTGCTAAGAATCAGATTGTTTTCTGCTAGGAATTACTCAGAAACCAAATCTGAAACTGAACCATGTTTTAATTCAGGCTCATTCAAATGTTCGATACTTTAAATGGTTTCCAAAGGCACATGATGTATTGTATCTCCAAAACATTTGAAGGAAATTTTGTTGGGGTCTTTCCCACTTTTGAAACTTGTAACCAGATAGTAACCTTAAGGGCATTGAATTAGTTCATTGCAAAATAGCATTTTAATACGTAAATTATTTTAATTTTTTTAAAGGAATGTTTCTTAATTACTAGGGGGATTTTGAACTCTATGATCAAAGTATGTTTATTAGTTTTCCTTGGAGCTAAGGACCAACTAAGACACTCTAGGAGATGTTCAACAAAATGTCCTAGGACCTATCTTTTGCTTAAAATAATTTGGGAGACTCTTGTTTTGAAGCAGACCGTAGCCCAGGTCAAAAGAAAGTAGGAACAATAGTGATATTCAGTTTTTTTCCAGCTGGTGTAAGAAGCTCATTCAAGCACGCTTACGTTTGCCCTTTCATAAATGGTAAGCTGTAGAACAATCTTTAACTGAAGCACAAAAAAATAGATTTTTTTTCCAGTGAAAGACTGGATCTTTTATATCTTGACTATCGAAACGAAAACACCACAAATTCACTTTCTTGGATAACGCGAAACCAAAAAATTCAGAAAATGAGCTTACAATTCTCCATTCTCCCAAAATCCTTCTCACAAGGATGGTGGCTTCTTAGAGAATAAGCATCTCAAAGGAAACAAAAGATGGTTTTCTGGAAATTATCTCAATATCCCAAGTGTGTTATCTACAGTTGTATAATCTTTTCAACTGTATAATAGTGCACAAGAGCAGCTGATGAAAAATAAGAGACCTGCTTTTTCAGTGTATTGTTTCTCAGTTTAACTCAGTGACCTCTCCTAGATGCAATTTATTGCACTGAATAAAACCTGTTAGTTTTTATATTTAGTTAAAACATTTTAATTATGTTTGAACTATAATGTCAAACACAATTCTCTGAGCAGCTGATAATTTGATAGATATTTCACAGATCTATATTTTAGGAACTTCTGTTCCTTATGAAAAAGTAAAATATACATTAAGTGGTTTGACTGCGACTCAGCTTCTGTTTACCAAAGGTTTTGAACAGAGAAACACAAATAAGATTGTGGGTACCTCACTGAGGATAATCTCTTCCCTTTAATTTATTCTTAATCTAGTTGAAGATTTATTGAATCCAAGAATGGGCATCCTGTCTCTACACGAGAGTAGCCATGACGTGCATTAGAATAGTTGTGGTTAAGATGACTTCCATGGCAAGGCAAGCAGAATTGTTCCATTGTGGCCAAAAGTTGGAATTTAAAAAGCTGAAATACATTTGGGTGATGGGGTGGCGTTCTTTCTTAAACTTTGTTTGCCAGTTTCAGATTTCATTTTTATTTCTTCATTCCCCATTATGGATGTTAAATAAGTGTTTGTTAGAAAAACAGCAGAAAGGTGTAAAAACCATTTGGTCAAATTGCTGAATTTATTTCATTTTATATTGACATTGACAATACCTCACAGCCTATTAAGAAAGAACAAATATGACACTGCCAATTTTAATGACATAGATTCCAAGTGTACCTGATTTAATATCTGATAGCCACATGGGATATTCAGATTTGTAAAGTCTATTTCTATGTAAAAACTAAGGGACAGGTTGTCCTAGGACATCATCCTAAAATTTACGTTCAGCATTGTCTAGTAGAAATTACCTGGGTAGAATTTCCAGTAGCTAAGGAACACAATACTATGATTATGCCTCTTAATTGCTCTTCTATAAGTTAGCATTTTTTTAAATAGTTCTGACTGGTTACAATGACAAATATTCCATTGTGTTAAGTAAACTAACTTGTGGAATATATTCTGTTGATTCTTAGATTTTGCAACTATAGAAATGTTGACTACTTACGTACAGAATAATTAGTCCATGATTTTAGTAATCATTGTACTTGTTGGCAAATCATAACATGGAGTTCTCTCTTCTGAAAAATATCCTAAAATCGAACAGTGCAGAAAATATAGCTTACATGAATTAATATCAAAATAGATTAACACCTTGGTTTATCTGCTATAACTATGAAGGCTTTTCATTGACTATTAAGTTTAAATGCTCATTGCTTTTATATTGTATTTGTTTACTGTGAGCATTCAGAAAAGTGTTCATAGATGGAAATATTAAAAAAAGAATTGTCTTACTTTGAGGTGTTCTTTATTTGGGGAGATAATGTTGCACAATGTTGCCTCCGTTGTTGGGATGGATCTATGTAAAAGCTTCTGTTTACATAGTTTATACATCATCCTTTCAAATAATAATAAGTATAGCACAGAATTTCTGATGCTGAGTATTATGCAAGAAATCTTTGGGAAAATTTTGTGTGAAAGTAATCATGTATATTTGGCTATACACAAATGGGAAGGAAAATTAATAATACAAAACTTTTCATCTTCTTCCAAGTTTTTTCAAAGAATAGTGCAATTCATTTCTTGTTCAGTTCTTTAGAGTCCCAGGTATTTAATAATTACTAATACGGTCTTAAAAAATATTCCATGTGCTTTATTTGGGATAACCTGCCTTGGGTGTGAGTTTAAAGGCAGTGATGTCTTAAGTAAGACCCAGGATTGTTTATATCTTGTATGCAAAATTAAATTATGCAACAAGAATTTGCATACATAGACTTGGTTTTTCCATCCTGGGCTCTGAAAAAAACCCTTTTTAAAAAAAAAATTGACGAAGAAAAGGAACATTGGCTTGGAGATGTTCAAGCAACGTATAAACTCATGCTTTTGTTTTATTTCTTTTAATTATAGTTGAAGTAAGCCTGCCAAAGGAATTCCAAGATAATACACAACCGAAGCAAGTGACAAAAGAAATGCTACTGTTGAAACTACATCAAAATATGGGTATGCATATTTTAGCTGTCAGCACTTCAACCTGCATTTACTCTAGTGCTGACATAAGAAGAAGAAGAGGGGCCAGCTGGCAAGAGGACGCTTGACACTTCACCTACTTATTTGCATTGAAGATAATGTCCCCTAGGAGATGAGGGTGGGGGGGCATTCCTGGGAGCTTAGGTAGTAGATATGGGGAGAGTGATTTGGAAGAAGGCGAATGAGACGCAGAGATTTGGGGAACGGAAAGGGAGGGTCTGGGGTCAGGAAGCCAGAGCTGGCTACGCCACTCCTGAACTGCTTAAAATAGTCACTTTTAGTATGATTTATCAATTTTCTTGAAGCATTCTCACACAGTCTTCTTTACATTTATATCTAATTGTTTTAATGGTTATTTAAGATTGTTTTAATCATTAGTTTTATTGTACCCTGTCAGAGTCACATTTGTGAGGTAAGTGTCTATATAAATTTAAATAAATGAATGGATGGATGGATGGATAGATAGATACTGAGTCATTATTTAGCAACCAATTGAAGTTACAGCAATGATAACTTGGCAAACAATCCTCATATTTATGACCGTCTCAAGCAAAGGAAAGTTGAAATAAAAATGTAAGTACAGTTGCAGTTTCACTTAGCAATCGCTTTGCTAAGCAACCAAGTCCTAAAGATTGTTAAAGAAGGAGTAACTGCGGAAGACAGGCAGATAGACTGACAATGTAAAGAACATTCATTGTCTATTGACTTGGCTGTTTTGGTTCTTGATTTTTTAGCATTCTTTTGCTGTTGCAGTTACTCTTTATTTTAGTAATATACTTTTTTCCTGCCTCCCAAAATATATCCACAGGAGAAAGACTATAAACAGTGTACTACAAAATTAAACTAGTAAAAATGCAGTTTTTAGCTGGAGACGAATTAAAGTAAAATTACTAATTTGTATTATCTTTCTATTCTTTTTTATTTCTTTTCAGGAGTGGTGATAGCTGTGGCAGTTGCCATATCTGCAATAGCTTTCTCCTTTAACTACTTCAGTGATTAAGCTTCAGAAAGCAAGAACGAACGTCAGAACTCATGTCATTACAGATGTACTGTAAGGATGCAAGCGTCTTGAACTGAATACGTTAAGATATGTTGTCATCTAACAATAGCAATACATGGCTCTAAAAAGCAATTATTCTCTTCATGAAAGTAATGTAGGTGGTATACATTGCTTTTTAGGGAAAAGTGAGAGAACTCACATTGTCAACTGGCACATCCAAGGGATTAATTTTTCAGGGGACAACTGAAACATAACATATCTATTCTAACGTTCTCCTTACTTAATAAAATGTATAAAAACCCTGCTGATATGGTGCTTTTTTAGGAAATACGGGAATTGTATGATATACAATACAAGTTCCTTTTTCTTTGAATGAACCCATAAGTGGTTTTTTTTTCCAGTTACATACTGTGATTATTTATCTTCCTTGATTCATCTACACCTGTCACAGAGTATATGTGATGTGAGTATATGTATACATATCTATTTATTTCACAGTGAAGATATCCTGCGCCAGCCATGGTGGATACTTGTGATTCTGTTATATAATAATACAACATAGAATAAAATAGTTAGTTGCTATGATTGAAACCCCAGCTAAGGGTTCACTGGAATAGGATATATTTTACTTACTTGTGAAACACAAGAATGACTTTATACCTCTATTCTATTACAGAGAAGGTGTGTCGTTATGTCCATGTTCTCTTCATCACACTTTCAGAAAGAGGAATGTTCTGTGCATTTTTCTCTCCCTCCCTCTCCCCACTTTTTAACAAAACTTTATTTTCTCTTTCCTTTGGGAAAACTTCACATGTAAGTGATAGAGATTGTTCCTCTCCTGAAAATAAACTCATGTGATGTGGTCCTTTATTGGTATATAAAGCGTTACAGGCTTGGATCATGTCTAACCTGCTGTTTTGAAATATACAAAGTTTATTTGCTTCCTCTTTTATGTCCACTTCATTGTTCACAACCCAAAGCCTCAGGGGATTGAATAGTTTACAATATTGCAAAAATAAATAAGTTTTAAAAAAGTAATCTGCCTTTTTATCTGAGTTGCTTTCAGTTGTCAGATATTAACTTCAGTTGTCAGATATTAACTTGGCTATGTTGGTCACCTGATTTATAGGAACTTTATTACTAAAGTTTGTATGCTGCTCCATTTCAAACTCTCTTCCATTAATGTCACTTCGACTTACAACAGAAAAAGTCAGCAAGTAAGGGAACATCTTTAAGAGATTCTGGATTTATACAAAGATGCCCATCGCCAGGATAATGAGTATATGTTGCAAGAAGTCTCAAAGCAAAATACTTTACAATGCTATTTACGGAAGAAAGTAAATAATGATGGAGAACACTCAAGAATGTTGTGAGTGTTCAAAAACCTATTCACTCTGGGAGTGTCCTGTTAAGGAAGTGTTCTGTTTAGAAATTCTTTCCCCCTTCTCAGTGCATTGTGTCTGCCAGCTTTCACTGGTAGTCATTGTTAAAAGTTGATCTGAATTTTATATTCACCTGTTCTCAGATTATTATCTTTCTATTCTTGTATATGAAATAACCACAGCATGGCATGGATCTATGTTGTGTTAATGACTTTGAGGCTGTTAATGTTGAGGTGTTAATGACTTTGAGAAGACGTGACTTCTCCTTCTTTGAAAATGGACAGGGAGAAATTAAGATAGCCTTGAGTAAAACATCTGATAGAGTTCTGCCACCCCTCCAAATTAAGAGCAGGAAAAACCTTTCTCTTTTCTTCCTACCACCTCATTTTTCTGCTGGTAAAGTGAATAAGACACCTGTCAGAATGTTTTGAGAGAACCCAGTTTAGAGCCATTCTACTCAGCTGAAGTAATGGCTTAAGTAAAGAGCAGGATCATGCCTGCCCCATCTTGGGTCTGTTTCAATAGCTAGGAGGAAAATAACAAAGTGTTGCTTCATGAAATGACAGATTTTTTTCCATCTTCTCTGCCAATACAACTGCTGATTTTCAGACTACAGACTTAATAAATTAATTAATTAGAGATTCTTAACGGCATTAGAAATTCTTACAGGCAAGATCTTTCTGATGCAATTGCCCTTCCCTTCTCCAAGTCTTCTATGATGGATCTGGTTGATACCACTTGTTTCTTAATCCTGCATTTTCCACTATTTCACAGTTTTCACAGTAGCTAAGCGTGGGCTGCAAGTTTTGTTTTCCTGCGAGTTCTATTATAAGGCTACTTTAGATCATTGTTACATTGTAAGTTGCTGATTTTCAAGTTGTAAAAATATGATTCCTTTTCTAGTAGTATGGTTAACTCATTTTTTGACAAAGCAGAATGTCACATGTCTGGAGTAATGCTGTTTGTTGGATGGTGGAATCCAGGTTAAATATGGCGACTCAGTCAGATTGAAAACTGATCTTCTGATGGAACCAGAATGAAGGTGATGTTTCTTGATCTCTCAGCAGGTTATAAGATAATAATACAGAGGGAATTATATAAATCAAATAAATATATAAATAAAGTTCCATTACTGCATATTTCACGTTTAGGGGTTCTAGCTCCAGGTACATTCCTCTAAATAATGCATTAAACATGATAACTTTACCCTTTGAGAATTCAGAAATTGTACTTCATACTACTGATAGTGAAGTAGTGATGCCTCATTTCTTTAAGATGGCAACCAATAGGGATTTTATGATGGATTTAAGCTATATGGTGGGAGTTAGTGTTAAGTTTTGAAGTTTGAGTGTTGCAGTTGGGATTGTTTTGTTTTTGTTTTTTGGAACAGAGGATGCTCCTGATCATCTTACTGGGACTCTGATAGTTGCAGACGGCTTTTGACTCCTGACGGAAAAAGGCTGTTGGGACTCTGAGCTGGCTTCCAGCCTCAGACGGTCAGAACTGCCTTTGGAGCATATGCTGATTACTGGGCATCCAAAGCAGTAGTTGTGGTGAAGCCAGGATGGACACAATTGGTGGTGTTGCAGTACTGCGGTTGGAACTGAAATTCAGCTGAGAACTCATAAGCTACTGAGCAAGTCTTCACCAGAACACTAGCCATGATAGTGCTCGCACAGCACCTTTTATTCAAAACTATTTTGGACCAAGTGTGTTAATGTTTATGCTGGCTTCTGATAGACTTCTGTGTTCAATTCAGATGGCGGTGATTCCCTTTAAAACCTTACATGGCATAGGACCGGGTTACTTTTCCCAATAACTTCCACAGGAAAGGCATGCTCCAGGTTCCTTCTTTTAAATCTTGCCCATCTTATGTAACCTAAGAAATGTGGCTTTCCTGTGGACACTTTCCAGTGTGTGCCCCTGTTTTTTGGAACAATTTGCCACCCCCTCCCCCAATATACAATAGACCGCAATTCTTTTTACCTTTAGAAAAGCCATTAAGACCTGGGTCTTCCCCCAAGCATTAGGGGTCAACTGAGTGGGAGTCCCCCTGTGATTGTTTTGTTGTACAGCTGATTGCCATTTTATGTTTTGTATTTTTATATTGTCTATTATTACATGGGAGGGGATTTGCTTTTTGTTAATGATCTGTGTGGTTAGGAGCCAGCACTGTTTGAGATGGGCAGTGTAATCTGAAAATAAGTAAATAAATGACTGATCTTATCATAGCTTTCTTACTCCCCCCCCCCACTATAAATCCTTCAAATGCATTTGATTTATCAATTTTAAAATGAATTATTGTGATTGGACACCATTCTCCTCTAAGATTTCTTTGAATCCAAATGTGTAGGTCCTGTGTAACTCAGTGTGGAAAAACAAGAACCATTTGAATTGCAATTCTCAAAGTACGGACACTTTTTTCCTCAGAATCAGGAAGCAAATCTAATTCAGACGATTTACTCAAGCTTCGTGATGCACGTTTTCTTTGGGTGGTCAACATGTATAACCTAAGGGCATTCAAACAGCTGTACATTTAATATGTTTTCCACTTTGCCTGCTAGATTTCCATTCCATTCTGTCAAAGGTAGGTCTGCATTTTTAAATATTGGGCATAAAATGTAAGCTTAATGTTTGTCATGGTTAATTTCCTTCACTTTTTCACAGTAACATCTCACAAGTCTGTGTTTCTCATAAACCCTTACTTCTCTGTTTACTTGTATTGCATAATTCCATAACATAATTCCAAAAACATAATTCCAGGAAGTGCTGTAAAAGTAAATCAGTTTCTGGGGCAGGCCCTGAGCTTTTGTGAGCAAACAAGGCATTTTTACTGTAAAAATATAGAAAAGGCCATGAGCTTTTTACACCTTGCACACTTTATAAAGTGACTCAGCTTTGGGGAAGAAAGGTTCAATTCTAGCCAGATTTCATTTGTATGTTATCATCGTACTATAATAACATTAAAATCCGGTCCTGCCAACTCAATTTCTTCCACGAAGATTAAAGACAAAATTATTTTATATTCCTAGTCTAGACTTATTGCAATTTCCTCTTGGCCAAAAGTATATAGTGATGAATCAGAGCATAGGTTCAAGATCTGTTCTGTGTCAGCATAGTGTCAGAAAGCTTAAAACTCACTCCTAATGCATCTGATCAAGGCTCAGATTAAGACTCACCTAATTATAAATGGGAAAGAATCCTGGAGAACTACCACTGATTAACAATAACCTGTTTGGAACTGTATCGCAGGCTGAACAGATAGTAAATAGTGCCAGAGCCACAATTGATGGGGACACCCATCAATTTTCTTCTTATACCTCCTTTGTTCCCCAAGTTCCTGAAAGGAATAGATAGCTCTTACTAGAGATGTTTTGTAATGGGCCCTAGAGCCCTGAGAAATTTAACTAAATAGCCTAAATGCTGAGCCAGTTGTACCAATGGCCTCATTCTGTAGAAACATACATACTTCTTTACATTAATCCCCAAATACATAGTTCTTTCAGTGCATGCAGAACTGTGCTGTCACAAGAAGATATGTTTCCATCAGGTTTTGTCACCAAGTGGGAAAAAAAACGATATGCTTTCAAAGTTTAATGTGTGAGAGTTATACATAGAACAGGTCATGGCTAATGAATGCAAGAGAAATTAAGGGGAGAATTTAGCCATTTGGATTACTTCTGCAAGGTTATTTTTTAAAAAACAACAACAACACACAATATATATCCTTGAGGTGTGATTTGGGCACAACTGATTTTTCTTATCTCTGCTGAAAATGATAACACAGGAACATTTGGAAGGCCATAAATCTACACTTGACGCAGTCTTGTTACCTGTCCTTGGTTGAAAGGAAGGTGAGAAAAAAGATTCTTGAATGCCACCTTTGTAATTTCATTTTCCTTAAGTAATCCTGATGGAGCCACAAAACCCTTAATTTAAATTTGATTAATCATATACTGTTACCTTGAAGAGTCATAATATACAGAAGCTTGGTTAGCTCCATATGAATGAGTGCTAACAATTTTCAGTTTATAGACTGCCTCCAAGAATACAAATTGTGCATGCTTGGTTAGTTATATGTTATTTTGTATAGCCATTTATCATTAGATCTATTAAAATTATATTATAGATACAATGGGATACAGTTAATGATCTACATATTTTATATAATTTTTAATCCTCAGAGTTTAATATATGAAGACTAGATGGAAGCTATTCAGTTTTAAATGAATAGCACTAAATCTTGTACAATAGACACATTTTGTCTAAAAATAGTGTACCCAATTCATTTCTACATACACATATATGCAGAATAGTAAACTTTCTATACATTTTTTATATTTTATGTTTATTCCCACTATATAGCTAAACAACCTAAGCCAGGAGATGATCAATCTAGAAATTCTATATTTGATTTAAGAAACCAAAAATACAATACATAGAACACTGTTATATCAAGAATGTTTCAAACTGAGGTACTATCTGTTTATCGATGAAACAGATCAATTGTCTAAATATATATATAAGAGGAAGCAGGCAGGGCCACCAATATTTTGCCAGGAACCCAACTTGTCCCATCTAACAAATACTATTTGTAAATACCCATCACATTTAACTCCATTAAGGAAAAACTAGAAGGAAAGTTTTACCATTTGAGAGAAAAATACCTTTCTACTACAGCTTTATTCCTCTTCCAGCTTTTTTTCCCCCCATCTTCCATTACTTCTATGGGTCTGCCTGAATAGTTTACCACTTGCCATGAAAAGGTCCTGGGTTCAATTTTATATGTTAAATGCTTTTCTAAAATCTTGCCTTACAATGTTGACCTTTTTTATATTTTCAGGAATGGATGAAGGTATTATTTCTTAGGACTAAAATCTTTTTTCCCCAAGATTTGTCCAGGTTTTCAACCTTGCCTTCAAGATATATGATAACTATATATTAGTACTTTTAGAATGTGCCCTGCATTTCAGTTTTTTAATCTGATGTTTTTCAAGTTTTTTTAAAAAAATATGTATCTAAAAATGTTTTGAGTTTGCAAGATAAGGAATCCCAGGGAACCTCCCACTTTTTGCCATCATTTACCTTTCTCCGCATTCCAACATTTGTAAGCATTACTAATCTTTGGGGCATCTACTTCCTGCACACTTATGAATTATTTCTTTCTCTGACTTTTACTTAGATCTTTGAGGTTTCCTTGTCTGATGTCACTGGGCAGGGTGGAAAGTCACTGTAATCCTCATGTCTGTTATACATTATACAGATGTTAAACAGATGTAAAAAAGGTTGAGACTCTAGAAAGAGCGCAGAGAAGACCAACAAAGATGATTAGGGGGCTGGAGGCTAAAACATGAAGAACAGTTGCTGGAATCAGGTATGTGTAGTTTAATGAAAAGAAGGATTAGGGGTGACATGATAGCAATGTTCCAATATCTCAGGGGCTGCCACAAAAAAGAGGGAGTCAATCTATTCTCCAAAGCACCTGAGAGTAGGACAAGAAGCAGTGGAAACTAATCAAGGAGAGAAGCAACCTAGAACTAAGAAGAAATTTCCTGACAGTGAGAACAATTAATCAGTGGAACAACTTGCCTCCAGAAGTTGTGAATGCTCCAACACTGGAAGTTTTTAAGAAGAGATTGGATAACCATTTGTCTGAAGTGGTGTAGGGTTTCCTGCCTGAGCAGGGGTTGGATTAGAAGACCTCCATGGTCTCGTCCAGTTTTGTTATTCTATTCTATTCACCTGAGAGTAGATTGGAACAGAAACAAGGTGACAGTGTTCCCCTTCTGTGAAATTAGTTCAGTCTGGCAAACTCCAGAGAGATCCACAGTATGCAAGGAATCTGAAAGCCCTCCACCCATTAAGCCAGAATATTTTCCATTCAACTTTCTGCCTCTCTGATGTGTTAGACCACTTACTGTGAAATTAGTCTCTCTGTGTAAGGCTTTATTTAATATACATTGCACAACTGTTCCTGTTTATTTCATTTTTTATAAATGAAAGCTTTGGGGATCACTCTAGATGAGAGAGTGTATTTTAATGGTGCTGAAGACAAAACCAGAAGAAATCATTAGTCCTTCCCTTCCCTTCCCCCTTCCCTTTTAGAACTGTTGTCTAGCAATAGCTCTTCCCCCAAAGGAAAGCACAAACCAAGGTATTTTCTGAGTCTTTCTTGCACAACTATGTCAGTGGTGGGTTTCACTTACCTTTGCTACCGGTTCGCTCACGCGCACTTGCTTGCTTCACTCACACGCACGCCACTTCTGCGCATGCACAGAAGCTTCTGCACATGCACAGAACATATTTGATGATGTCCGGGCGGGTGGGTGGAGCCTCCTGCCACCACTACTACCGGTTCCCCCGAACCAGGGCAAATTGGTAGCAATCCACTGAACTATATACTGATTGCGCCGAGGGGAGTACTAACCCCAGCCCTATTATCTTATCTCCCTCTGTCTAAACATTGAGGAGGTGGCAGTGATGGTTTGTCCCATTACAGCTGCTTAAATACAAGGAAAAATCAGTGTTCACTTTTTCTTGTTTTTTATATTGTCTGTGTGCACATATTAAAAAATAGAATAGACCCATTTAAAAGCTATGTTTTAACTAGCCTTTAATTACATCTGTACAGAATAGAAAGGTTTAGTCATTGATATTGTTTTATGAACACATTGTTTTAATTTACCATGTGACATCATACAGTATTTAATAAGTGTTTTGATGCATGTATACATTTTCTTTATACGTTTTCCAACACTAACCTAAGTTTACTAATTGCACACAATTAAAAGTGAGTTAAAAATACACTCTTTAATTTCTCTACAGATTTGGAGAGATAATGTACTTGATTAGCAGCTAATGCTATGTGTTGCTTTCCAAACAGCACATGCTAAATATAATGTTCTTCAAGTCTCTTTTTTTGGCTAGTAATTTCAAATCAAATTATGATAACTACTTGCAAATCAGAGAATTTTTATTTGTTTGCTTATTTCTTGTTAGGTTAAATTTCTAAAGCTGTCCAGTTGCATAACAACTCCAAGTAATGTACAGTATTAAAAAGCATAGGAGAAAAGCATCATAATAAACTCAGATGGTAGTTTTATATAAAAAAAATGTTCTTCCACTTCCTGTAATTCCCAAAGGGGCTTGTCACACTCCCTAAGGTAGGGCCAGGGGAAGAGCCAGATCTTCAAGGTTTATTTAAACAAAATCAGGATAGGAGCTGTTCAAATCTCTGGGAGGATGTTGTATCAAAGGGCAGAGAAGGTCTGCTTCCTGGGTGTCATCAGGTGGCACTGTTATACCAATGGGGATCAAACCATGTTGACTCTCTCTGATCATAATAGAATACTAGGGTTGTCTAGTCCAACCCCTGCTCAAGTAGACAATTCCAGACAAATATCTGTCCAATCTCTTCTTGAAAACCTCCAATTATGGAAGCACCTACAACTTCATTCCACTGATTAATTGTTCCCACTATCAGTAAAAATTTTCCTTAGTTCTAGGTTGGATCTCTTTTATTATCTTCCACCTGTTACTTCTTGTTCTGCCCTTGGGTGCATTGGAGAACAGGTCAACCTTTTCTCTGTGACATCCCCTCAAATACTGGATGACTGCTATCATATCAAATCTTATCCTTCTCTTCATTTAACTAGACACACTGTACCTACTTCCTTCAATATAGTTCAGCCTCCCGAATCCTTATCATTTTTGTTGCTGTTCAGTGCACTCTTTCTAGGGTCTCAGAATCTTTTTTGTATCATGGTGACCAGAATTGGATGCAATATTCCAAGTGTGGTCTCACCAGTGCATTTTTTACAAGTACTATCCACTTCATGTGATCTTGCTCTGTTCTGCAATTTAGGACTACATTGGCTGTTTTGGCAGCTACAGCACACTGCTGGCCCATACTTAAGTGCTGGTAATAGCCATGTTAGCCATTCAAGAAAAATGAATTTCTAGGATATCTCGCTAAAGTAAAATTTTCACTTCCCCCTGTCCCCTATTTTTAGTTACATTTCTGAAATGAAATATTGGAAAACCACATTTCCAATTATGCCTGTCTTTTGGACAAGCATCAGGTATTGCTATTAAAGTGACTTACTTAACTGCCCTTAATGAATGGGTAGACATCACAGGAAACAGACTGTCCTTCAAATAACCAGACCCTATGCTGTCAAGGGCTTTATAGGTGATAACTATTATCTTGGATTGGACTCCTAATGATTACCTGCAATTATTACAGCTCACCAAGCAGCAGACTTACATAGGCATAATGTAGCATGCTCAGAATCACTCCTGCTGCAGTTTCTGGGTCTTCAATGAAAGTCCCATGAAGAGCTCATGAAAGTTGATCAAAGCATGAATGATTGTGAGAAGGGTTTCCTGGTACAAAAATGCATGCAATTGGTACACAAGATGAATCTGTGCAAAGCAGGGGTGAAATGCTCCTGGTTCAGATCGGATCGCCTGATCCAGTAGCAATGGAGCTGGGTGGTTCGGAGAACTGGTAGCAAAAATCTCTCCCCCCCCCCATGCTCAGCTGAGCCGCACAATCATCAGGGGCTTTTTTTTTACTTTTAAAAGCATTTTTTCTACAACCTCTTCGGCCGAAAAAATGCTTTAAAAAAAAAAAAAAAAGCCTCTGATGATTGTGCGGCTCAGCTGGGATCATCAAAGGCTTTTAAAAGAAAAAAAAGCCTTTGCTGATCAGGCAACTCAGCTTGGATCGTCAGAAGCATTTAAAAGAAAAAAAGCCTCTGCTGATCAGGCAACTCATCTTGGATCGTCAGAGCCTTTTGAAAGCATTTTTTTACAACCTCTTCGCCGAAGAGGTGGTAGAAAAAATGGTTTTTAAAGTTTTTTAAAAAATTGGCCACCCCCCCCCCCCCCCCCCCCCCCCCCGAACCGGTAGTAACAAATTTTAGATTTCACCACCGATGCAATGGCCCTTTTGGCCACAATTGCTGCCTGTTTCTTCAGCAGGAGCTATTAATCCAGGAGGACACCTCAAATTATACAACAGTCCTGATGATGTGCAACTCTATTTAAGGCTAAAAATGGAAGACACCTGATATGGGGGGAGTGGGATATCCAAATATCTACAGATAGTCAATCTTGCCAGGGGTTAAGCTTGATCCTATTCCAACCTATCCTGATTCTGACATTTCTGGCACTGTAACAACATTCTGACAACATCCCTGAGATTATTAGATGCCTGCCGTGATAACTGTTTTTAACTAACTAAATTATAACAGTTATGCCGTAAGATATTATGAGTCTGTTGTATTTATTTCTTATATTGTTATTGGGTTCATCATGTATTCTCAAAAAAGACTTCTTGCATGAATATAGGTAAACCAGGAAATTCAGAATTAGAAAACTGTTGATAGATCAAATCCTGACCAAAGTTGGTGTTCATCAGAGTTTAGAATGCCCTGAATATTCAGTGTTTAAAAGGAAACTTGTCTTTACCCTTAATGTGGCAAATGTTTTGCATCTCTAAAACTCTAATGAAATCAAAGTTTCCTTTTGAATATTTGCTGAAAGTTTTATAATGTTAGTAGCTCCATCCAAATATACCTTGTATTTTAGGGATCTGTCAACTTCTATATGTGTTTTATCTTAGCCAAATTCCTTCCAAATGAGGATTAAAACAATGTCACTTCCTACTCCTATCCTTCCAAAAAAGTTAATGTCCAGTATTAGTCCATCTTCAGTGGTCTCTGAAAATTGTCCATACTACTGAGGGTATAGTTACAATTGGGTGATTTATATCTAGCATTGCATCCCCTTGGTAAGAAGATTTCACCAATCCTAATTTGTTCTCTTATTTCTTGTAAAAGTGAAAAGAAGAGGAAAAAACAAAAAGGGATCATCAGGCTAAGACCTGGGCATCCCTTATTTCTTTTATATCTTTCTATACTTTCCTAATAAGTCTTTTTTAATGCTTCTATATGCAGCATTTCCTACGTAAATTTGGCCCCAAATGGGATCCAAACTAAAAATTCACTGAGCACAGATGATGAAATACTAGATATCTACTGTTCAATTTCTTGTTCATTCATGTCACCATTGCCAAGTTCTGGAATTCCTTTCTGAGGGAGTAACCCATATTCATTTAAGAAAGTCTCCACATCTGTAGTAGAAAATTCTCCATTCAGTTGGTCGGTCACACTAATGAAATTGCTTATAAGCTCCCCACCTTTGTAGACAAGTAGTGTTGGAAGAACATCACTGGAGAAACGGTCTCCTGCCCCTGTGTTAGCAGCCTTAATTTTGCAAAATTTCACAATGGAATACTCAGCAGCAAGACTGTTAAGGCTGCTGTTGAGTGCGTCACACTCCTTGATGTCATCTTCATAGATGTGGACAATTACAGTGGTGGCCTTGTGTTCTTTCTCCACAGCTTCCAGGAACTCCTTCCCATCCTGCAGCTCAGAAACGTAGCCGTGCTTTGGCGCAAAGCTCAATCGCTCGTGCATGTTCTTCATGCAGCGCTTCCGGTATTGCTGTAAACAACTCTCATCTTCTTTGACATTCAACAACTCATATTCTTGCACACTCATCTGCAAGTAATTGTAAGAATACATTGAACTATAAGTGCCGATTTAATTGCCAATCATAAAATGAGAGATTTCATGCAGTCTCGTGGAATATAAATAGAACATTTTATACTCAAAGAACAGCACTGAAAGTTCAAAAGCTTCCATGTAAATATATTTATTCCAATGAGCATTGGTAGGGCATTGATCCTGATGCAGGCTTTCTGTCCAATATTGACAGTACCATCAGGAGGATTATTTCTACTATATATTGTCACAAAATGAAAGTGAGTTGACTACAATATAGGCATTTCAACAATGAAACTGGATCAGGCAAACAAATATGCCATTGTTTGGTATAGGATGTTATAATAAGATATATCTACTTCTGGAACAATGAGGATTCTATTCTAATTGTGCACTGTCAAAAAACATCAACCTAGTTTTTGCCAATGACTTGGAGCCATTAAACGTTTCCACAAGTTGGCTAATGCAGGGCCTGGTAAAATTATAAAATGGTCATATCTCAATACTCAGTCTGATCTTCGGGAATACATTTCCCTTGTTCTTTGTGTCTTTAATACTGCAAATGTAGTAAAATATTAGTAAAATATAAAAGTAGGGAAAACTATTTTCTATAGGAATTCTACTTATTTGGTTCTGTGACAGGTAAAAAAAACCTGTTGTCTTCCAGATTTTGCTGTGCTCCCAGCATCCCTTTTCTAGGCTACACCAAGGAGTTGTTTGCAACATTTCGAGGACTAAAAGATCCCCAAAACTATTCCAGGGGTTCAAATGATCTTACTTACATATTCCAGAAATATGTGAAAGAAGGAGACTGTGGGGTCCCACATGCTTTTCCCCCATACTTTCTACGAATGTGGATTGTATGACATGGCTTTTATACCCATACCAATTTATTAAACGGGATCTATCTTCTCTTGCCTGGAACAGTTCCGATTTCGAAACATGTATGATGCCATATTCAACCTCACGCATATTAACTATACATCTGACATGCATGGTGAAAATGTATCTGTTATGTGCATTAGCATAACAAGCCTACCCCATTTTTCTTGTATATATAGAAAAATTATCTGAAACTTTCCCCCGTGCATCTTTTCCATTACATTGTCTTCCTTCCCTCATTTACCTTACGACTGACTCGTTCTCTGATGTCTCTATGATCTCTGCTCTGACAGTTGTAGGGCGAAGAGATTTGCCTGATGAGGAGCTCTCTCTTACTTGGAGGAAGACGGTCTTGGTCTTGGCTCTCCAATTTAAATTTTCTCCAGTCATTGATCACCCCTTTAGGTCCTAGAAGAAGAAAATGCTTTTATTTTGTGTTATTTAGTTTTACTTTCTTTTAAAATTATCAATCTTTCCTTTTTAATTATCAGTCTTTAGATGCTTCAACAAAGAAGGTTAGTGAGGAAAATAGAAAAGCAGACATAGGCAGATACTGTATATCCCCAACAGAGGCTGAAAAATATTGTCTTATTATTGAAATGAAATTTCCAAATTCAACTCACTCCAAAAATTATGGTATTGTAAATGGCTCAGAGTCGCTTTGGATAGTGAGATGGGTAGCATATAAATTAGATAGACAGATGATTGATAGATAAATTAGATAGAAGATTAGATGATAGATAGATAGATAGATAGATAGATAGATAGATAGAGCTGTATCAGGAGACATTTGGGTGCAAAAATTAATAATTATGAACCTTATACAGACTACAGTTCTACTGGTGGACAGTTAGTTACTTGAGGTGATTGTAAAAGATCCAGCTTTGACTAATTACCATATTTTTCAGAGTATAAGACACACTTTTTCCCTCCAAAAAAGTGGGTGGAAATGTCTGTGCTTCTTATACAGCAAATATTGCAGCGGGGGAGGGAGTGGTGTTGGTGTGGGGCCGATCAACTGTTCTAGAACGGGCTGCGGTGGCAGCGGTGAATGAGATGTGGTGGCGGTGGTGAACGGGCCGCAGCGGCAAATGGGTGAATGGGCTGCAGTGGTGAACGGGCCACAGCGAACAAGGGGCCTTGAATGAGCCGCAGCAGCAGTGCGAACGGGCTGTGAGAAACAGGTTGTGGTGAACAGGCCGTGACAGCAGGGAAATGGGCCACGGCGAATGGGCCAGATGAATACCGGATGGATGCTGGGAGGCAGAGGCAGATTTTTTTTCCTCCCCAAAAGCTAGGTGCATCTTATAGTCTGGAGTGTCTTCTAGTCCGAAAAATATGATATTTCTTTTAAGAAGAATATGGGGAGAGGAAATGTTGTAGAAAGCTTTCCAAATCCTATAAATTTCTCTTACAAATTGTGGGTCAACCATTAGAGGAGTTAGTGTTAAGTCCTAATGACCATAGAGACACTACGCTTGATTTTAGCCAAAAGGCTGAGAAGATAGATTTTTGTCCATGTTTATATATATATATTATATATATATATATATATATATATATATATATATATATATATATATATATATATATATATATATATAATTTTACTTTACTTTACTTTATTTTACTTTACTTTACTTTATTACTTTATTATTTTATTTTATTTTATGATTATTTTATATACTTATACATACACACACAGACACACACACAAAATTTAGAATTTATGTATATATTGAATTAATTTTACATGCCGCCTCTATTCTACAACATATTCTTACTGCTGCCCTTACAATTCAGTGTTAAGCAAAGTGTCCAGAAAGCAGTCATTTATCATTTGTATCAGGGATATTTTGATTTGATTACCTGTATGTACAGCTTCTGGGGCTTCAAGTTCGTCTTCCAAATTAATACTTGGTTGGTGTTCCATGATTGCAACAGGCTGGTAGAGACTAGTAGTCAAACAGACAAATAGAAAAACATTTACACATAGAATTTATGGGCAAAGACTATAGACTTTTAAAGCATATCACCACATAATTAACAAGCAATAGCCACAGGTAGTTCATTTTATGAAATCCTTATAATTCTCTGCTGAATATCTGAAAGAATACAGGAAAAACTAGCTGTGTCTAGCTCTTAAAAGGGATTATAAAAATTAGTCTAGACTGACATGTAGGCTCAAATTGTTACAGTGTGATTAAATATCATATATTCTTTTATCAGATATTCCATTTAAAAAAACCTTATATTATCTCTGCATCCGCTCCCAGGATACACAATATGCAGTCATTTCCAAGCAAAATATGTACAGCAATATTATTTCCCTGTAATGTATGTTCATAAAAAACATAGAAGTGGAGGTATTCAAACAAAAAACACATCTCCAGAAAACTTGGTTGTTAAAAGAACAGCATTCTTTATTGGCAATTGTGTTACTTTGATTGGAAAAAGCAGTAATGAAATAGCATTTGTTTTAAGGCACGAGTAAGTAGTGTTTCCAAGGCTAAAGTTTATGTGGCATGTCAAGATCCATTTAGAAAATGAATAGAACCATATTTTCCAACTATAGTTACAATTTCAGAGTTTTATTCCTTTTGTCGAGGACAGGTAGTCCTCGACTTATGACCACAATTGGAACCAGAATTTCCAATGTTTAGTTTAGTTTAGTTTATTTGATTTATATACCGCCCTTCTCCCGAAGGACTCAGGGCGGTGAACAGCCACAAGATAAAAACACATAAATACAAAATTTAAAAAACAGAATAAAACTGAATTTGGCCGAAGACAGATTTAATGTTAAGTAAGGCACCTGATTTTACCACCTTTTTTGCCATAGTTGTCAAGCGAATCATTTTAGTTGTTAAGAGAAAGGAGTGATTGTTAAGTGAATCCAGTTTACTCCATTGACTTTGCTTGTTGGAAATTGGCTCGGAAGGTTGCAGATGGTGATCACATGACCCTAAGATGACACTCTGAATACATGCCAATTGTCAAGCACTTCAATTTTGATCACGTGACCGTGGAGATACTGCAACAGTGGTTAAGTATAAGGATCGGTTGTTAAGTCAATTTTTTTAGGGCCATTGTAATTTTGAATGGCTGCTATATGGATGGTTATAAGCTGACTTTTTTTCTTTTTACAACCCTCTAATCCCTTTCATTAGAATGGAGTTGGGACAACTGAATGGAGCTGAGCGTTTACTGGCCAGATGCCCTTCCTGCCGCCTATGTGGAGTTCGCAGCAGGTATTTTCTCTTAGCACCCTGAATATAGAAACATCTGTCACTGCCTAGGTTGAATTCTCAACCTTCCAAGTAGGAGGTGAGCATATTCACCTCTAGGCCACTGTGACACTTAAATTGTTGAAGTTGAATACTATATACAATTCTATAATAAGAATGAAGTGTGGGTTGGCGTATTGCAATTACATTGAAAAATATTTCAACAAGGAGAAGGTAAAAATTAAAAATGTCAAACCAAGCTTGATGTCTCTCTCTTTTTTTTAATAAGGCAAAGTTTATCAATTTTAGAATTAGTATAAATAATTTTGTTTTCTGGCTTATTAAACCATGTGTCTGGGTGACTACCAAACAGCAAGATGGAATATATTGTTCTTTGCATGGAAAAATGAGTAAATAAAAATGTAGGGAATGAAAGTGAAGTTATATAATGCCTATTCATTTGTTTATGAATTAAAGTTTTCCTGGCATTCTAAATAAAATGATGCAAAAGAGCAGATGTATCTGGATGTAAGAAATATTTGCATTTAGTCTGAAATAGTTCTACTATTGCTTTGGCATGCATTTGGCTATAATTCTAAAGCAGGGGTGTCAAACTCGATTAAATTGAGGGCGACATCAGGGTTGTGTTTGACCTTGAGCGGCTGGGGTGGGTGTGGCCAGGGTGTGCGTGGCCAGCTCGAGGTCATTCATGTCAGGGGCACCTGTGATGGCTCGAGTGCTCTGCCAGTGAAAACCCAAGCACCGTTTTCACTGGTAGAAGCACCACAGGCCGGTCCTTTGCTGTTTCCAGGGCGGCCCCATGGTCCAGATTTAAGTACCCTGTGGGCCTAATTCAGTCCCCTTGTTCTAAAGATATACTATTTGGAATTATAAGTGTCACTTAAAAAAAGAAGTGATTGGTAAGTGATTGGTAAGTAAATACTTGTCATGGTAAAATGAAAAGTAAATATGCACTGGGAAGTCTTTGTGCATTTATTTCTGATGGAGAAATATGGATAATATATTTGTACAAAGGGCAAATTGTTTGATCTTGTTCTTATTCTATTTGAGGTTTGTTTGACACACCCATGTCGGTAAAAATATCTCAAGGAGACATTACCCAAGTGATAATTTTAGCAGCTGCAAGTATATACAAGGGAAAATTGGCTACTTCACAATGAATACATTTCTTTCATGTCATGTAAGTACAAATGTTTGTACTTCACTTGGTTAAATGTCTTTACTATTTCCCTATGAAATTTCAAAACCTGGGACAGTACAGGGCATTAAAATACACAAATAATCTCAAAAGGTCTCAATGGTAGCAAAGATTACGTGAAGAACCATTTTGCCACAATGAGATTGATCTGCCCCACTAGCTCCACCAGAAGGGTCATACTACAGACCCCATTGGTCGAGGAATTCTGGCTGGCAGGGTCTAGGAGAAGAGCCTTTTCTGTTGTGGCCCCGGCCTTTGGAACATCTTACTGCTGGAGGTGAGATTGGTTCCCACCTTCTTGACCTTCCTTAAGGATCTCAATACCTGGCTCTGTTGATTGACTTGGGCTCCCGATGAGGATGCTTTAAGTTGGAGATGGCTGGTGGAGTACAAAGAACCCACTTCCGTACTGCTTGTGAATTTAGTTAATAGTTTTACTTAATTCCTGTTCATTTTAATATTTTAAAATGTTTTTATATCTGTGTTTTTATATCTGTATTGTAAGTTGCTCAGATTCACTTAGTGAGATGGGTGGAATATAATTAATAGCATTTTTTAAAAGATAAATAAATAAATGCAGATTTTAAAAGCTCCAGCATAAATCCTCAGCTTAACTGGTTAGCTGGGAAAGGTCTCTGAGGATAATGCCAATCAGTAAGGACATTAGATCAACTACAAATTCAATTTAGGGCAATACAGATGCTGATACAGTTTTCTTTTTATATCAGAGATGGGCAGAATTCAGGCTTGCAGGATATAATTGGAGTTTTAGCAGATTTCTGAGTTCTGCCACCAATTTCAGACAAACTTGATGGCTAAGATACAGCTTTCAAATTGCACTCTACCACTGAAAAAATCCTGCAAGCCTGAATTCTCTCTTGCTTAATTAACAAGATATAATTGGAGTTCTAGCAGACTTCTGAGTCCTTTCAAATTGCACTCTACCACTAAAAAAAACCCTGTTAATTACATTAAGATCAATATATCCTGGTGGAACGAACTGGTGTTATGTAGAAATCTTCTAGTTAATAAGAAATATCTATGTTATTGCATTCTGTTATCCCTCCCACCAACCTTCACTTTAATTTTTCCAAGCATATTGACATCTCCTTTGGGTGTACCAATAACACTGTTTTGGTAACAGAGACAGCTGGAATTATTAAACATTCCTATATTCGGTCATGTCATTCCTTTCTAAATTTACACTGCACTTATGTATAAGTGAAAACTAGCACATACTTGCATTAGTTGCTAAGAGGGAGAAACTAAGAAGAATGATGGCACATGTTTATGTTTCACATATGATACTTTCCAGGAATACATTCCCCTCCATTAAGTAATGTGCAAAACAAACCAACAAACAAATAAGCAAACACCCAACCCTTATTTAAATAGGTAGCTTTCCCTACTTATATGTTGTGTTTTTTTGATGGATCTATATCTGCCACAATCAAAATGCCTTTTTTGGAGTTTACAATGAAATCATAAAAAGGATAATACTATAAAATAACCTTGGTATAATTAAATAAGTAGTTAAAAATAAAACAACTCCTACCCACAAACAGAAGCCAGCCATGATAACATCACTTCAATCTCCCAAGGCTGTCTGAAATAAGTCTGTTTTCAGTAACTTATGGAAAACCAGCAATGTGGGGGCTGATCTACTCACCAAGGAGAGACTCTTTGCAATGCAGGTGCTCCAATTGACAGGAAAACAACAACAACAATCCAACACCTACAAGATGGTTGACATCACCTCCTAAAAATGGGGATTGACTAGCAGTTTTTCCCATGATATATGAATCAAGAGGCCAAAACTTACTGGAGAAGACAGTTCTGCAGGGATTTTGGTGTCACTCCATATATTATACAGTACATATTTTGCACATTTTTCTCCTACTGAATGCAATTTTCCCTGGCAAGTACATTTTGAGTAGAGAATGTGTAAGGTCCAGAAAAAGTATAGGAGCAAGTCCAGAATCCAAAGGAAAGTAGAACAGAATTATGATTTGGGGAACGCATATTGGATCAATTAATTTTTAAAAAAATCAGGGAAATTCTCCAATATCACCAAGGACAGCGCATCACTGCTGCATCCCAAAATATTTAGAGAAAGATCTATTAAATGTCTGTTTATGCTTTAAACAAAATGGCTCAACATTTCCATTACTGAGTAGGTTATCTATCATATCTCGATCATCTCTTAAGATACTCAGTGGGTACAATGTCCACCATAATAGCTGCCAGTGCCAGGACTACATAGGAAAACCCAGGAACAAATCATTTTTCATTTTTTACTTCTACATTGCAAAGTTGTAAACAAAGTTGTAAACATAACTTATTTGAAATACTTGCAATCTAGGCTGGCGTTCTGTTTCTACCATAAATCAGACATAGTTTCTGGAATCTTACAAGCTAGGCACAGAAGATACAGAAGGTTTTGACCAATCTTTTGCCTCTGTGTCTACATGGTCATAACTTGAAATTCATATATCTAAACTTGGAGAAT